GAAGGAGCGTCTCCACCCCCATCGTTCTGCCTGGACACTGAGGTCCAGCACCGAGGGCCTTCTGGCGGTTCCCTCATTGCGAGAAGCAAAGCTACAGGGAACCAGGCAGAGGGCCTTCTCAGTAGTGGCGCCCGCCCTGTGGAACGCCCTCCCACCAGATGTCAAAGCGATAAACAACTACCTGACATTCAGAAGACATCTTAAGGCAGCCCTGTTCAGGGACGTTTTTAATGTGTGACATTTTAGTGTATTTTTGGTCTCTGTGGAAGCCTCCCAGAGTGGCTGGGGAAACCCAGCCATATGGGCGTGGTACAAATAATAAATTATTATTATTATTCTAGAGAAACTAGACTGGCTCCCTCCTTGCTGTCCTCCTTATTCCAACAGGCCTTTGAGAAGTGACTGTGTTTTAAGGAAAGCGATTTAAAAGAGTGCTATGCTGTTTTTATTACCTGCATTTTAATAATAACCTTCCATGGGTCCATTGTCTTTTTCTTTTTGCCTTTTTTTAAAACTAGCTTGCAACTGAGGCAAACTAACCCCAGTTCAACCAGTGCTGTCTAGAGACATCTCAAAGGGATTAGGAGACTCCGAGCCCCCAGTATGGGGAATTGTAGCACATGGCACCTTATGCATGGGGGGAGGGCGACGGTTGTGGATTGGGAGAATTGGCTCTGTACTGGAGATGATAAATGGGCCAGGTCATTTGCATATACCAGTCCCCCTTTTCCTGTGGTCTCGTTGGCACCACAGTAGGGTAATCACATTAATTTGGGGCAATGGCCCTTTGCTGTATTTCCACTATTATCCAGTCTAAGGTAAAGGTAAAGGGACCCCTGACCATTAGGTCCAGTCGTGACTGACTCTGGGGTTGCGGCGCTCATCTCACTTTATTGGCCAAGGGAGCCGGTGTACAGCTTCTGGGTCAGGTGGCCAGCATGACTAAGCTGCTTCTGGTGAACCAGAGCAGCGCACGGAAACACCGTTTAGCTTCTTGCTGGAGCGGTACCTATTTATCTACTTGCACTTTGACATGCTTTTGAACTGCTAGGTTGGCAGGAGCAGGAACCGAGCAACGGGAGCTCACCCCGTCACGGGGATTCGAACCGCCAACCTTTTGATTGGCAAATCCTAGGCTCTGTGGTTTAACCCACAGCGCCACCCGCGTCCCTATCCAGTCTAGGTAGGAATAAATGGGACCTTAAATATGGGGACATCACACCTGTCGTTAAATGCATGGAAGCTTTGAAGACTTTTCTTGGCAAAATATATTGCTTTAATTCTATTTGTGTTAATATCTTTTTAGCTTTTTGTATTTTATCTGTGCTGTCTTAATTTGTATAAGCCACCTGGCATCCTGGTCTGGGAAAATGACGGGAGAGACAGAATGTGGCTGGGACTGCAGCCCTTCACAGTTGCAGGATCACATCCAACGTGGGCGAATGTGAGCCATCTCGCCTTCCAACTGTTTAGCAATGTCACAGCATTCCACCAAGGGCTCCTTGAACAGTTCCCCGTGAGCCAGCCATGCCAATGGGAAACTCCCAGAAGGGTCTCAGAAATCCATCAGGATCTATCTGTGACCAAGTGGGGAAGCCCAAGAGAAGCCTCTCAAACCCCTTTCCTTGCCACTGGGTCTCACTCTCCAGTAATTGTTCCCCCACCATCCCACTTACCGTATTTTTCGCTCTATAAGACACACCAGACCACAAGACGCACCTAGTTTTTGGAGGAGGAAAACAAGAAAAAAATTATTCTGAATCTCAGAAGCCAGAACAGCAAGAGGGATCACTGCGCATTGAAAGCAGCAATCCCTCTTGCTGTTCTGGCTTCTGGGATAGCTGCGCAGCCTGCATTCGCTCCATAAGACGCACACACATTTTAGGAGGGAAAAAGTGAGTCTTATAGAGCAAAAAATACGGTACTTCTGCAAGCCAGGTGGACCTGGGATGCACTAAAGCAATTACTCTGAGAAAGGTTCGGAGTCAGTGCCCCAGCACTGCTCAGTTCAGCTCACACCCTTGTGATTCACGCTGAGTGTAAAGGCAGCCCTCCCTTTCTCAGAGACCTCAAATGGCTGCATTGGTCTCTTACAACTCCAATCCTAAACTCCCAGCAGCCTGAATGCCAAGCACCTGGGCACGCAGGGATTCCAAAACCCTGAGGGTGGCAAACATACACACTTCAGCAGTCAAATTACCTTTGTTGTGAATAAAAGTTAAGGGGCGAACAGGCAGAAGGTCAAAACAGAACGCAAAATAAAGCGGAGCCCTGTGGCTCTGAAATTGAGCTAATCCTCATTCCACTCACTGCACTGCTTGTTCTGGTTTACTCAGCAAGGCTGGTCAGCTTCATAGAAAGCCAGTCTTCTTCTAAACACAACCAATACCTTACATTTAATCCTTGTCTACATAGATAATAGATTTATGAGAGATTTAGAAAACTTATTGATTAGAATATTTGAGTTTGTATGGGAAAAATACGGAATAACAGATGCAATCTTGCTTAAAATGTATATAGGAAGTGCAGTGTAAGCGATGGAAGTCAATTAATGAAATTTTATTATTATTTTCCTACTGAGATATTTGTCGAATATCTTCCAACTTTTCTTCTTTTTTCTTTTTCTCTTTATTTTTTCTTCTTTTTTGTTTCTTTTTTCATATATATGTGCTTATTTGAAATATAAAGGTAAAGGTAAAGGTACTCCTGCCCGTACGGGCCAGTCTTGCCAGACTCTAGGGTTGTGCACTCATCTCACTCTAGAGGCCGGGAGCCAGCGCTGTCTGCAGACACTTCCAGGTCACGTGGCCTGCATGACGAAGCAGCTCCGGCGAACCGGCACCAGAGCAGCACACGGAATGCCGTTTACCTTCCCGCTAGAAAGCGGTACCTATTTATCTACTTGCACTTAATTGTGCTTTCGAACTGCTAGGTGGGCAGGAGCTGGGACTGAACGACGGGAGCTCACCCCGCCGCGGGGATTCAAACCGCCGACCATGCGATTGGCAAGTCCTAGGCGCTGAGGTTTTATATATGTATATGTGTTTGTAATATTTTGCTTATATGTTGTAACAATTATGTTAAATAAACAATAAAACTTTTTTTTTAAAAAAAAAAAGGTCAGTCTTGGGTCCCTGGTGCTGGAAAGAGAACTGGACGCCCTGATGTTGAGAGGGGAACAATCTGCAAGAAGCAGCTCAGCTTCTTAAACCCTCTTCCCTGTCTCCTGGGAGGGAGTTTTGGATTTGATATCCCGCTTTATCACTACGCTAAGGAGTCTCAAAGCGGCTAACATTCTCCTTTCCCTTCCTCCCCCACAACAAACACTCTGTGAGGTGAGTTGGGCTGAGAGACTTCAGAGAAGTGTGACTAGCCCAAGGTCACCCAGCAGCTGCATGTGGAGGAGCGGGGAATCGAACCCGGTTCACCAGATTACGAGTCTACCACTCCTAACCACTACACCACACTTGGCTCTTTCTGGACAGGTATCTCACATTTCCCAGGTAGTACCCTTTTTGCTTATGAAGAGGACTGGCAGGGGATGCCTCTCAGATGGACGGGCAGAGGATGCCAGCTCAGGGTCCTTCTTCACACCATCACCATGGACCCAGACGCCTGGAATTCATGCTGCTTGAAGCATAGGATCTGCACTGTTAGAGACCAGCACGCTCTTCTGAGATCTGGGAGAGACCCAGGGAATGTGGATCGCCTATACCCTCTGAGTAACTGACAAGGTTGCCATGGGTCTCAGAGTTCCTGGGTTTTAGGAAGCTGAGAGGGCTCTGCCAGGGTGTTAGGATATTTCCGTTCCACCTTAAAAGGGGGCAGGCTTTGTGAGTCACAGAGTCTGTGTATTTCCTGTTCACAGGATGTTTCTGTTGTGTCTATGCTTTCGTTCTCTCTGTGCCCGAGACACTGAAGCTGGCAGGCATGTTTTCTTTGTTCTGATCAACGCTGAATAAACTAGTAAATATGCTCTCCTGCGTGCATTTTTCGCTGTGCATTATCTGCTGATAGAGCGTGCATCGGCTCTGGACTGTCACAAGCTATTTCTGGAAGCTCATGTCGCTAATTGCTGATACTGCGTGTCTACGGGAGATTGATGGATGTCCGGACACTGCTTGGGGGCCATGATGGCAGTATCCCAACAACAGTTTATGGGCCCAGCATGCTTCCGCTGCACCACTCTGCTTGAGCACTCTGCCACTCAAGCAGAGTGGCGCAGCGGAAGCGTGCTGGGCCCATAACCTGTTGTTGGGATACTGCCAGGGAGACAAAGCCTGTGGGAGACAAAGGAGCGAGCTGCTTAGATCTTGGACTGGCATAAGGCAGCTGGAAGCTTTCCCCCAGCAATTTGCATGTGGGTTGGACCAAGGAGTGCTGGGCACCCATCTGATGATCCCAGCAGAGGTGGATTTAGGGGAGAGTGACCAGTTTGGTTGCACTGGGTGTGGCACCTCAGGGGCACTGCAGGGGGCGCTGCAACTACGATGTAGAATGGAAGGTGAGCCGTATACCTGAGGGAGCGTCTCCACTCCCATCGTTCTGCCCGGACGCTGAGGTGCAGCGCCGAGGGCCTTCTGGCGTTTCCCTCATTGTGAGAAGCAAAGCTACAGGGAACCAGGCAGAGGGCCTTCTCAGTAGTGGCACCCGCCCTGTGGAACGCCCTCCCATCAGTTGTCAAAGAGATAAACAACTGACATTTAGAAGACATCTGAAGGCAGCCCTGTTCAGGGAAGTCTTTAATGTGTGACATTTTAACGTATTTTTAATCTTTGTTGGAAGCCGCCCAGAGTGGCTGGGGAAACCCAGCCAGATGGGCGGGGTACAAATAAATTATTATTATTATTATTATTATTATTATTATTATTATTACACATGGAAAAAGACCATTCCTGGAACCTGGAGTCATCCAATGTGCCTCCAAGCCGAAGAGTCTGCTGGGCTGATCAGAACTGCGCAAAGCTGCCCCTTCCTTTCTTTTGCATTTCTGATGCAAGCCCACCTGTGCGAGCTGCTCTCCCCAAACCCCTCGGTTGAACGAGGGGCCAATTAGCTCCCAAATGCTCTGCATTAGGTCCGCGCAGGGGAAAGATGTCAGGCGTCCTGGTCACGGCCACATCAGCTTCCACAGCCCCAAATTATATTTGACATTTAATTAAGCCCCCTCAGGTACCTAAGCAAAGAGTGCTGGCTTCGGAAGCAAGATGACTGGGGATTTTCTTCCTAAGGAGCAGATTTGTTTGACTCCGGTCCCTGCTTATCATTTTGATCAGCGACAATCCAGCAGCTTCATGAGGCGTTAGGGAGACTTGCTTAATGAGAAAGGGAGATGGGGGCGAAGTGCGGAGGGGGAAGGACAACCAAATCCAGGATTGCCTCTGAAATTGAGCAAAGCTCTTCATTTACTGTTCTCTGGGGCTCCTGTCACCTTCTCCCCCAGAAGCTGCCTGCCTCTGCCCCCCACCCACTTGGGTTGTAGGGGAGGGAAAGGTGGCTCGCAGACCCAGAGCTTGTGGCTCAGGCTGCCTGAGCATAAGCAGAGTCTGCTGGATCAGGCCAATGGCCCATCTGGTCCAGCCTCCCATTCTCATACTGGCCCACTAGATGTCCATTGTGGGAGACCCAGAAGCAGGACCCGAGCACAAGAGCCCTCTTGTCAGGAGTGTGTGCAGGAGCCAGGCCCTGTGACCAATAGGACTTTGCAGGACTGGGGCCTTCCTAAGTTTGTTCTGAAGAGGCAAGGCGCGGCTGCACAGGTGAGGCCGATTGGTAACTCACAGCACCTGGTGGCAAGAGCTGGGAAGGGATATAAGGTCAGCATTTTCCTTCAGCTCTTTGCCACAGCAACACGTTCCCTGCCTTGCGTCTTGATCCTCGGACCCCTGACTTCATGACTCCTTGCATCTTGATCCTCGGACCCCTGACTTTGTGACTCCTTGCGTCTTGATCCTCGGACCCCTGACTTTGTGACTCCTTGCGTCTTGATCCTCGGACCCCTGACTTTGTGACTCCTTGCGTCTTGATCCTCGGACCCCTGACTTTGTGACTCCTTGCGTCTTGATCCTCGGACCCCTGACTTTGTGACTCCTTGCGTCTTGATCCTCGGACCCCTGACTTCGTGACTCCTTGCTTCCTGACCCTCGGACCCTTGGCTTCTTGACTCCTGGCTCTCTGACCCTCAGACTCTTGGCTGCTGACTCCTGGCTTCTGGACTCCGGTTCCTGCTCCCACCCCGCCATCTTGCCCCCGGTCCTGACGTCCCTGCCGGGACTTTGATCACCTGTGAACCGGACCGTAACACCTCTGCCCTCCTGGGCTTTCCATTGTTATAAAAATTTTAAGGCCATATATATAAAAAAAAATGTTTGTAACTGTATATTTAAACCACATGTCTGAAACCCCAGAGAAAAGGTCCTGAACAAATTGGCCTCAAATATTTCTCGTCAAGGTCAAACCTCCCCATTGTCTATTTCCTCACAAATCCTGCCTTAAGGGCACATTCAAGATATGAACAGGGTGTGAGCCTTTGACCTGTGACCTAGATTCAGGAATTAAGTGAGGCATCTGATCAAAATCTGCCTTGAGCTTAAAAA